TCACTATACAAAACAGCATATAGCACCCCTACCCTTCCCAGAAAACAGAATACATAAAATAGAGGGAAAGACAGAAAGAAGGCATCACAATAGTTTACCCATCCCATACTCATATAGTCATATTTTCTCAGTCATAGGAGTCTGCTATCTCTTGGAGACCATTAAAACATCTATTGCAAGCACAAATTACCATTACTAATGTAACGTAAAAAAAATGCAAGCATATGTAGGTTCAACTTGATATCATATGGTAACAATTCTTTGAATAAGAGGACGATTGCAAGCGAAGAATTCTACCTGTCAACCCAAAAGGCCTTAAATCCCAGAGTAAATGGTCGTCTGTGCCTCCAGTAATTAACCTGCATTTCCTTCTTAACAATACAGATGCTAAAGCCAGTGCATTTTTCTTTACTTGATGCATATAGGCCTTGTACTCCGGTCCCATTCCCTCCGATAAGAACTCCCACCACAAATCAATATCTTGGGCCTAAAATCAAGTGCCCTCTCCTCCAACTTCTCATAATCAATGTACCCAGTTTGTGGATTCACTTTATACGGCAAACTCTCAAAGAATATCGATGCACCAGACACCTTCCTCCCATTTGGGGTATAATATCCATAACTTGTATTTCCTCCAGACGGTGTATCCAACCCCATGATCCTATCTCCAGGCAAAAGCAACCCGGTATACACTGCGAAATTCGCTGATGTACTGTGACATGGCTCAGATTAGTGGACTTGTTGCTGCTAAGGTGTGAAGCTGTGAATTTCTACCGTTTAGTAGGTGCATTGTTTTATGTGGTTAGCTTTCTGTGTTTTACTGATGATGAGTTCATTTACATTGCTTCGGTTCTATGCCGGACCAACACTATAACCACTATCCCACTTTGCTGTTTGAGTTGAATTTATTAGCAAATATACATATGCAGTTTCAACCTAGTGCAGACTACTTATTGAGACTGGTTTAGCTATTGTGGTAAACTGCTAATATAGAAGTTTATAGATCGAGATATTATTTCTAGTTTGCTTATTGCAAATAAGCTCATGAGTTTTTTAGCTTAGTCATTGGATTCATTTTCGAGATGCTTATGAAATTTATCTTCATTGTCTTCTTTTCAGGTTATCGATTTTTTTAAAATTTTAAGACAGCTGTGGTTTTTATAGGAAATTAATCACAATAATGTGGTGTTTGATAATTTTCCAGGAATGTGCCAGCCCCTTTGAATACTGTGACATTGTTACCTCGACCACCCATAAAAGTCTCCAAGGTCCCACAAGGAGGTATAATTTTCTATAGAAAGGGTACAAAGCCAAGGAAAGGAAGGGAAGGATGCCTCTTAGCAACGAAGAGCTGACAACGATCAATATGATTTTGAGGAAAAGATAAAAATAAATAATATTTTATTTTATTTATAAATTATTTATCTAATTTTTTTAATTTACATTTCATGTTACAAACTAATTGAATAAATAAATTTTATTTATTCATAATCAATTAATTAATTAATGAAACTTAAAATATTTTTCGTAATTATTTATTAAATATAATATACGACTATGGAAAAATAAAAATCAAAGCTATTCATGAATTTTCGATAAATATTTTATTCGTTTACATTCTATTTACATTTACTTTTAACTTTTTTCACAGACAAACAACCAATAAAGCTTAAAAGTGTGGCTGAGAAAAAAATTAAAAAAATAAAAAATTAATTTAAAATTTTAGTATTTAATTCGGTTTAAATTAAAATTTTTTATTTAGTTTAGATTAAGTTTAGGTATTAAATATTTTTATTAGATATTGAATTAAAAAAATAAAAAAGATTTGAACTTTTTTATATATTTAAAATTTTAATAAAATAAAAATAATTATTTTATATATAAATTTATTTAAATATATTTAAAATTATATATAAATAATAAAATTAATAAATTTTAAACATTAATAAACCAAAATTTTAAATTTTAATTTAAATTGATATAAAAATTATAATTAAAATTTTGTAATATTATACGTTATAAAAAATCAAATAAAATCCAAATTGGAACGCTTATCACCGTATAGACGAAGGAATATGTCTATGCTTCTCTAACCAGGTCTCTGACCCTGCCAATACTTTGGCGTCACTGCGCGAAACGTAACCGTTTCTGTGAGGTAACTTGACGTTTGGGCGCTGAATAGATTGATGGACAGGCGCGTGAAAATTCACAGCGAGTGGGTTCCGTTAATATAGTCTCGAGAATGGGTTAGAAAGTTCCTGAATTTGCTCGAGTGATGAAAAAGGGACGCTTGTTTGGTGACGTAGCGAAATGGCAGAAAGGACGTGTGACGTCATGATGAAGCGCCTGCAGCTATGTTGGCTGCCTCCGCAAGAAATTCAAATTTTTAAATGACAAATCATAGAATTACAAAAGTATCCCTCGTATTTAATTTATAGCCTTTTCCGTCCCCACATTTCAGCGGAATTAAAGGCGGGCGCTCGGCCTTTGTGAAATTCAGCTTTCTTCAATCACATCAAAATTTTTTTTAATTTATGAAAATATCCTCTACAAAAATGTGAATGATAAGTTATTTTCTGATTACATTTAAGTGATTGAAATGGGTTCAATTGTAACGTAATTTGCTAAATATAAAAAATTTGAGCTATCAATAAGACAATAACCTTTTCATGGCGAAGAGCAAGTAATTGATTATTTGTTGCTAATTATAGAAATGATATTTTTATAATATCTCAAAAAATTTTAAAATTTAAAATTACGTTCATGCTAATTCATTCTTTGATGGTTGAATAGTAATAATATGTTATATTTTGTAAACCCACTCTTCACATTCCCCCCTTTGTACTTCTCTTTCTTTATTTTATTTTATTTTTTTTGTAAGTATATAAGTTTAAATATAATTAGATATAAATTAAAAAAATTAACGAAAATCTTCAAATTTTAAATATTCAACTTTGAATCCAAAATTTCTAAAATAACATTCAATAAATTTAAAATTTAAATTTAATCACTTGTAATTCTTTTTTATCTTCAAATTTTATTTTTTGTAAAAAAAATTAAATATTTAAGTTTTATTATCAATTATAACAATAACATACAAATATATTCTTAAAAATTATAATTTTTTAACAAAATTTTATAAATAATAAGCAATAATGGATGATTCATGCCTAAATTAATAGCTAGCACATACATAAAGGTTCAAAAAAGGTTGCTTAAAAAAATGGAAAAGGGTACAGCAAAAATCCATGATTTTATTAGAATTTTAATGTGTAATACTTAAAAGATGAAAAAAAAAAATCGAGCAGGTCATTTTTTAAATTATTAAATTTATTTATAAATTTTATTAAAATTTTAAATTATATTAAATTATTTTTTATTTTTATTATTTTTATATAATATTATCATATATTTTTTAAAATTATCGGATTTAATTACAACATATATTTCTGACCTTATTTCTTTTAGCATTTATATTTTGGAAAATGGCATTATTGGTGACAATAATTATGTGAGCTCAAGTGGTCGTACATTTGTCAGCCTTGGATGGCCCATTTTTCTTGCTTTGATTGCATTTCCCCGCACATTGTATGCCTTTATACTTTCCTTCTCTCATGGGTTGACAACTAAAGTTGGGTAAAGGCTAATTATTTTAATTATTTAATTTTCATCATAGCTTAAGATCTTATTCAACTTTCTATTCCATACCAAGGGAAATTATAAAATAGTTAATGGATTTATTCGTTTCTTAGATAGATATCATTCAACATCTAATTTGATTAAAGCCTTTTAAAACTGTTTAAAAGCAAAGACTCCGATCCTCGATCCTATCATGATTTATTATCAAACTAAACAAATCAAAATTACTAATTATATTAAAAAGGTTAATTATTTTACACGTGATGATATGATATAAGTAAGTCAGTTCAAATTGAAAAATAAAAGAATTGACAAAAAAATTTTATTTTCAAAAAATATTTTTTAAATTATATTTTTTAAAAATTAAATTTATATTTTTATTAAAAATAATACGTAACAATGCAATCATATCATATTATGTGTATAGATTTTTTTTTTTTTCAGAATTCACATGATAATATGAAAAAATTATCACTTGTTAAAGTATATAATCGATAAAAATCCATATCAGCATCTTTAATTAACAAGGTAAGATCAACTCATCCTAATATATAATTTTTTAATTTTATATTTTTTAATCATTAATTTTAATAAATTAAAAACGTAAAAATTATTTAATTTCATATATTAAAAATATTAAAATAAATAATTAAAAAATATTTTAAAAAGTATAAATTTTTTTACATAACTTAATTCCTCATTAAAAATATTAACACCAAATATCTTATTATTACACGAATTGAAAATATAAATACATATTAATATAACGTTAAAAAAGTTCAATACAAAGTTATTCTTACCATTGACTGATATTGACTGATTAACCCATTTTTAACTCATATTTCAACCTATTTCTGTTCAAGTTTTTACCTAACTGAATTTGAAGGTTTTGGAGAGGGTTAATATCATATATAAATTTTAAATTATAACAAAAAATATAAAAAATTTTAAATTAAAATTTTTTAAAAAAATTAAAATATTAATTAATTAATATTTAATTATTTTATTCATTATGTATTTTTATTTTAAATTAATTATATAAAAAATAAATATCATATTAATTAATAAATTTAAAATTTAATTGTTACATTAAATATGTTAAAATTTAAATATTTTAATAAACATTTTACTATAATTTATAATTTTTCACGATCTTAATCATTTTGGAAAAAAATTTGAACCGAAAGGACTTTTGTTCCCTAATCCCTTCACCTTACAAATTGGAAAAAAAAAAAAAAAGGGGCAACAACGTCATTTTAGACAGGCAAAGGGGCAAAAGCAGGTAAAATAGAGTAGAGTGCCGTTGGGGGTAGGTCTGACGTGGTAAAGACCCGAATTATCAGGATAAGTAAATTCGATGTTACACAATCACGTACAATTCAAAGACACTTTTATTTTGATGTACAATTTCCCCATCAAAAAGAAACAAAAAAAAAACCCAAAAGTCACAGCCCAAACCTTCTCTCTCTCTGTAAAGCTTTCACAACAAACATACCCTCAACAAGAAATTGTTGTGATCGATTATTATTTTTTTCAATCAGTTTGAAATTTGAGGATTATCGTGATTGTGGAATTGTACGGATACGTGTTCTTTTCTGTTTTCTTGTGTAAATTTGGTGTATGTATAATTGATGATGATGGAGATACCGGAGAGTGGGAGAGCGGTGGCGTTGGAATTTCCGGCAAGTGAAACGCCGTCGTTTTCTCGTGTGCCGAGGAGGATTCGCAAGAGGCTTCTTTCCGAGTGCAAGACTCCTACTGTTGAAGAAATCGAAGCCAAGCTTCGACACGCCGATCTTCGTAGACAGGTAACTAAGAGTTTCATTTTTTAAAAAATTATGATATATTGTACTTTGATAAATTCAAAAAAAAGTTCTTGGCTTGCTTGGTTGGTGAGAAATCAAGAGGAACGGAGAGAATATTTGAAGATTTTTAATTTCTAATAGTTATTTTATGAGTTTATTAGGCGATTAAGATACTCGTGTAACTGATTGGTTCAGTCGAGTTAACTTCTGAGTATTTGTTTGAAAAAAGAATTCTAATCAACAGAGTTCAAATATGATTGAGAAATTTTTTAATTTTGAATTTCGAAATTAATTACCTAACTCGAGAAGAAAGATACACCATGAATCAACCTGACTAAGTGGTTTAGATTAAGTCATGAATATTTTTAATAAAGAACAAGTTAACCAAAATATAATTTTGCTACATTTTTTCTCAACATTTTATTTTATTTATATTTTTAGTTGTTCTTGGATTTATTATCTGGAAAATATAAAGTTTATGATTCTATTTGTAATGTCATAGGTTATATTTAAATGGAATTAAAATTAAAAGATTTTAAATATGAAAAGTCTTTCATTGATAAGTTCTTTGTTTTGAAGGTTGTTCATTTGTGTTAGGTAAAAGGTGTGTTCCTGCCTGAATTAATTTTGCGCTTTTGGGCACTTCATTTCACGTGGAAACCTCTCTCTTTTCTCTTTCAAAGCCTAATGTTCGGTGTTCGTTTTTGAGTCATTTTTTTTTTCTTCACATTTCCGTTTACTTGCCAGCCAAACGCAGCTGAACTTCCATCGCTCCACATTTCTTTTAACTGTCCAATTTAAAGGAATTCTATGAAAACATGTGGCAATTTAACTAGAACTTGAACTTGTTATTTCTTTACATGCAACTTCGCTTGTTCTTATGGTTGTTGTTGTTGTTTTATTGTAGCTATTCTATGAAAGTGTGTCAAGCAAGGCAAGATCAAAGCCGAGAAGCCCCTCCAGATCCTCATCAAATGAGGAAGACCTTGGTCAGCGCCTTGAAGCAAGGCTCCAAGCCGCTGAGCAGAAAAGGTAAAGTCAAGTCTAGTATCCTGCTGCCTCTGATGATTTGATTAGTTGTTGCATTCTCACTCTTCACACTTTTGATAACATCTTTCTACCATTCATTCAAAGCATGGTGTGTTCATTTTGTCGTTTCCAAAAGTTCTCTGTGTGATTTATTTGCACTGCTGTTATGTGCTTTTTTATGGATTTTGACACTGTGGAAATTATTCTAGTACATCTTTTTAAGGGATATAACAAATTCAATTCTGTTTTGGTGTTGACATTTTTGCAAATTGAAAGCTTGAATGTTGGTGAATCAACAGGTTGAGCATTTTGGCAAAGGCTCAGATGCGCCTAGCCAAGTTAGATGAGTTGCGGCAAGCAGCAAAAACTGGGTTAGAAATGCGTTTTGAGAAGGAACGTGAGAAGCTTGGTACGAAAGTTGAATCGCGGTTTCAGCAGGCAGAGGCAAATAGAATGCTTATTCTTAAGGCTTACAGCCAGCGAAGGGCAAATCTAAAGGAGAGATCATCGCAATCATTGTTACGAAGGATGGCTAGAGAAAGTAAATATAAGGAGTGTGTGCGTGCTGCTATTCATCAAAAGCGTCTAGCTGCTGAGAAAAAGCGACTGGGACTGCTGGAAGCAGAGAAGAAGAAAGCACATGCTAGGTTTTTGCAAGTTCGACGAGTGGCTAAGTCCATCTCTTATCAGCGTGAGGCTGAGAGAAGGAGAATGAGAGAACAGTTGGAAGATAGACTGCAAAGGGTATGAATGTTTTATAAATTTCTATAATCTATAGTATGGTCCTCCATCTTCAAGTGCTAATATTTTATTGCATGTCTTACGTTTTTCTTGTTAATTTCTTGATAAATAGGCAAAGAGACAGAGAGCAGAGTACTTGAGGCAGAGAGGAAGAGCCCAAAAATCTGTTCGAGTGAATTGTACTAGCATGCAAGAGCAGGCTGAACTGTTTTCTAGAAAAGTAGCAAGGTATAAGACCAGCATTTCCTATTTGATCATTTCATGATTGTGTTTGTTACATGGATTGCATGCTCTAACTTGGTACTGTTTATTATGTATTGTTGTGATCTTCAGAGGGTCCTTCAAAAAACATCTTTTGCAGTTGTAGAGAAAATTATTAGTAGGAAATGATTACATAACCCTTTTTGCAACGCATTTCAAGTATAGTTTTTCGGTAATACCTAGAAGGCTAAAACTATAAATGTTCTAGTATCTAATACTTTTGTATTCTTCAGGTGCTGGAGGCGGTTCCTTAGGCAGAGAAAAACTACTTTAGACCTGGCAAAAGCCTTTGATTCCTTGAAAATTAGTGAGAATTCTGTTAAGGCAATGCCATTTGAGCAACTTGCTCTTCTGATAGAATCAGTTACTGCCCTGCAAACTGTTAAAGCTTTGCTTGATCGAATTGAGATCCGTGTTAAGGCCTCTAGGGTAGTCAATGCTACTGATTGTCTATCCAGTTTGGATAACATTGATCATCTTCTTAAAAGAGTTTCTACCCCGAAGAGAAGGACTACTCCCAGGACCTCCATGAGCAGCAGAGAGGCTAAGAGAATTGTCTCAGTGGGGGAGGCTGCTAAAAGTCTTGCTAAATTATCAAGGTATCCAGTCAGAGTAGTTCTTTGTGCATACATGATATTGGGTCGTCCTGAGGCAGTTTTTAGTGGTCAGGAAGAGCGAGAGATTGCTTTGGCCAAGTCTGCAGAAGCATTTGTTCGAGAGTTTGAGTTGTTGATAAAGATTATTTTAGAGGGTCCCATACAGAGTTCTGATGAAGAATCTGAGTCTGCATTGCCTAAACATTTGACCTTTAGGTTACAGCTTGCAGCATTTGACAAAGCATGGTGCTCCTACCTGAATTGTTTTGTGGTGTGGAAGGTTAAGGATGCTCAGTCATTGGAGGAGGACTTGGTAAGAGCGGCATGCCTGCTTGAGCTCTCCATGATTCAAAAGTGCAAGTTGACTCCAGAAGGAGATAATGCTACTCTTACTCATGATATGAAGGCTATTCAAAGACAGGTCTCACTCTTGGTCTTTTTCTTGATAGAACTATCAGTGAAACTCACTGCAAATTTAGAAATACTCTTGATCAGTTAGACTACAATGCATAAAAAAAAATGCTCACAGCTTAATTATGCAGAAGTTTACTGAACTTTTAAAATATAAACTAATTTTGCTTGGTTCAAAGTTGAAGATATAATCAAAGTCACTACCTTGCTCTACATTATGCTGCGGAGGATCCTCATTGAATTTTCTTACAATGCAGGTTACATTAGATAAAAAACTTTTAAGGGAGAAAGTGCAACACTTGAGTGGAGATGCTGGGATTGAAAGAATGGAATGTGCACTATCTGAAACACGGGCAAAATTTTTTCAATCTAAGGAAAGTGGGAGCCCAATGTGGTCACCAGTTATGCCCTTCTTATCTCCAAACACACATGGTTCCCCCATTTCTACTGCTAGAACAGATAATCATAGTGATCTGACTCAGATGCCAAACCGTGTTGCCCGCACTCTGTTTAAGGAAAATGGCACATTCCCATCCAAAAATTCTGGCTCCTCTTTGTCTAGCAGCAGTCATTCAGATGCTCAGTTGGGTTCTTCTATTGAAAGGCAGCTGATCACTGAAAATGAATTGATTGTTAATGAATTTCTTCATGAGCAGCGTGATTTTGTGGATAGCTTCAGTGTCACTGACGAAGATCTAAACAACATAAAGGTTTGTGCAGTTTTTGTTATTAATTTATTGTGTTTGTCTGTGGCAGAAGAACCAGACACTCATAGTCATCTTTATGATGGGTTTGACGGGATTATATGAAATATGCAAGGATAGGATGTTGCCTTAGAAATCAATCAATTTCTTGGCTGCCTTGCTTGATAATTATATGTTAATGTCTTTATGTTTTGCAGGCAAAAATAAGAGAAATCATGGAGAAGGCTTTCTGGGACGGGATCACGGAATCTATGAGGCAGGAGGAACCCAATTATGACCGAGTTATTGAGCTTGTGAGGGAAGTGAGGGATGAAATTTGTGAGATGGCTCCTCAGAGTTGGAGAGAAGAAATAATTGATGCTATTGATCTGGAAATTCTCTCCCAGGTACTAGCACTCCTTTACAATTGCCATATTATTATTTTCATCTATTAAATCCTAATCCTTTTTTTTTTCCGCCTTTTGAAGGTGCTGAAGTCGGGCTGCCTGGATATTGATTATCTTGGAAGGATTCTGGAGTTTGCATTGATCACTTTGCAGAAGCTGTCCTCTCCAGCCAACGATGATGTAATGAAGGCTGCTAACCAGAGGTTATTGAAAGAGTTAGCTGAGATATGCGAAGCCAGAGAGAAGCCAAATCATTCTCCTGCTCTTGCAATGATCAAGGGTCTACGTTTTGTCCTAGAGCAGATTCAGGTGTTTTTTCATGTCCATTTTTTTTTCCTCCTGATAGAATGGATTCTTCATGTGTCACCTGTTCTAAAGGCATTGATTTGTGAAAGAGGAAGTTCTTTCTTTTTCTAGTAGTGTAATGTGCATTTTCTTGACAGGATCTCAAGCGAGAGATAAGCAAAGCTCGTATAAGAATGATAGAGCCATTGTTAAAGGGACCTGCTGGTTTGGATTACCTTAGGAAAGCTTTTGTTAACCGGTATGGGTCTCCTTCTGATGCTTACACTTCTCTACCATTGACCACGCGGTGGCTTTCATCTGTGTGGAACTGCAAAGATCAAGAGTGGGGAGAACACCAAAATTCTCTGTCAACTTTGAAGGCAGATGCTAGTTCATCTCAGGGGCTTCTTACTTCCATCACCCTTAAAACTGGTGGAAGCTATAATTCTGCAAATGCAGGCCAAATGACCATTGTCAACCCAAATGTCTCTAATATTACAGGTTTGTATGTAACTGTTTGAATTATTTGAAGGGAAGCTTAGTTCTGAAGATGTAAACTTGTAGAATTATTAACTCCTCGGAAACCAAAAGCTAATATGCTTAGAGATATGCAATCATTTTTAACGTACTGGTGATTCTTATGTTCTTTGGTCAGGTTATCAACAACCAGAATGCAAGGGAGAGAGAGTTGACGTACTGGTGAGGCTTGGTTTGCTAAAGTTAGCTAGTGGAGTTTCTGGTCTAACTCCAGATGCTTTGCCCGAAACCTTCATGCTTAACCTCTCTAGATTGAGGGGTGTTCAGGCTGAGATTCAGAAGATCATTGTAATATCCACAAGGTATTAGTTAGATCTTTATCTTGCTTATATGGCCCCCCTCCGTGGCTCCTTCTCTTCCACATCTCTTTCTTTCTTGGAGGGTAAATAACAGTGTCCTTATTGGGTTGCTATGTTTTTTGAAGTACTTTTATGGTGTCATTTTATTTATTTATTTGTAACTTTAAAGTCTCCACCATTGCTTTGGATGATGATTCTTACTTGCAAAACTATTTCTTGGCTAGACCTGTCTGGTCAATTCCTGGATAAACTATTTATTTGTCTAATATCTGTTTATTCACGTGTAGCATTCTTATTTGTCGTCAAACCCTCTTAAGCGAGCAAGTAGTAGCTAGCCCTACAGACATGGAAAGCATAATATCAAAATTTACTGAACAGCTCTTGGACCGTATCGAAGATGTAGGAATTGAAGGGATTGTTGAGATAATCAGTAGGTTCTCAAGCGGTGGTGACAAAGTAACAGGTGACGAGAAGCTTCAAACGAGGAAAGTTGTGATGGCCAGGATGCTAGCAAAGAGCATGCAGTCTGGAGATGCAGTATTTGAAAAGGTATCCCGTGCTGTCTATTTAGCTTTTAGAGGGATTGTGCTTGGGGGGAGTGATACCCATGGTATAAAGTTGGCAGAAATCGCCCTCCGGCAAGTTGGCGCTGGCTCCCTAACCGAAAGGGTCGTGAAAGCTGCCGAGATATTAGTGGTTGCAGCTGCAGTTTCCATCGGCGTCCACGGGCCATGGTATATGAACTTGATTCGTAACATGTGATTGATTTGTAGATTGCCGAAAAAGAATGTGAAGACAATAACAAACACCCTGTAAATAATGTGTGGAAGGCTTGCATTTAACTCTAGTGGACAGAGAATTGTAGATGGAATTTATGGTGTATGTTGTAAATAGTGTTTAGGTTAACCATTTGGCTCTTCTTCCTTTTCACTGGGAAAGCCTAATGCAAGATGAATAAATAATATCAATAATTAATCATGTGCACAAAACATAACTTAAAAAAAAAAAAAAAGTGAGCAGGGAGTTAAGGGGAAAAAACAACCGTGGTTGCTGAGGACCCTAAACTAATCTTGGTCTTGCTGAGGACATCATATAGACAAGCAACATTTTTTAACGATTATGACCAATTGTGCCTCCAAAACTCCTCTTTCAACGCAAAAGTAGCATACATTTAAGGTATGCCTCGTGCTGTAGCACAAGTAAAAACGATCAGAAAGACATATATAAGACTCCTACCGTGCCAATAACCACCAATTTACAAGCAGAAATTGTGACAGAAAAATCATTTTTCCATATGAACTACAATGTTGTTTAACTTTTATATTAGTTTACAGTAATTCTTTAACAAGTTCAGTAACAGCAGTACATACCCTGGAGGGGCTACCAACAAATATGCGAGACAGGAGGCGTTTGCAATCTTGAGATATGTGAACACGGTCTGGGATTTTGTATTGAACTGACATTATTTCTCTGCAGCGCAGATCAAAAACTTATGAAATCATAAATAAATTAAATGATTAAGGATAGTCAAAAAAAGGGATGGAAAGAAGGATGTAATATGCGCTGGAGTTTCAACCATTGACTTGGGTCATGAATGCAGCAGAGATGACTACAATATAGGCGGAAGGAAGCATCTTAAACAACAAAAATTTCCACATGCTCTTGATCATGCTTTCGGTAATGACCCTCTTTTTTAAATTTAAACTATATCATTTTCATTTCTTTTATATAATTTTGTATCACTTTTAATTTAGTTTTTAAATAAATTTATTTGTTGAACTTGCATTACTTCACTCCTATACCAATCCAATCATATACTTTAATATTAATATAAAATTAATAATTTAAATTATATTTAATTTAAATTTTAAATACTTATATAATGTATATTAGTAATTTAGTATAGATACTAAAAATCTATAAAAAGCTCATCACTTTAAGGATATGAATCTTATCTATATCCAATGAAAAACTTGAATTTTTATTGAAATGAAGATGATGATAAACATTATCTTATAGGTATAAGGATGTAGATGGATATGATTTTAAATTTTTATTGAGTATAAATATGAGAATGAGTAATATAGTACATGTTTCGTACCCATATCTTATATATATTTTTATATATTTAGTAAATAGATTTTTTATTAAATAATATAAATTACTATTTTTGATTAATTAGAATTAATATACTTTTATTCAAAAAATATATATTCATAAAAAATTACCTAAATATATAAAATAAAAATAAAAAAATTATTTTTATTGCAAAAATAAAAATGAAGATAAATTTAAAATATTTGTTAAATATAGATATGATGAAAGATATAATATAAAAATCTAAAAATAAAGACAAAGAATGTTATACCTATCTATACCTTGTCCATTAACTTCCCTACCTCACTCATTTGTGGCCCGACAATAGAGACAACGAGTTGTGTAAAAACCAAGCAAGGTGGGCCGCTAAGAATAGTGGTTAGCCACCCCAATTATCCAATGGGCTCAGACTCTGGGATAAGTACTGGACCCATTAGTAGATAGGCCCATCCAGGGGTGTCCTCCCCTTCAATTCTCAACATCGCCTACGGCCTGACAACCGACATTAACAACACAAGTCAAAAGTCAAAAAAGAAAAAAAACGAAAAACAGAGGGGAGAGTGCATTAGTCAAACGTCACCGATCTAGACAGCAGAAGAGAGGGGAGCTGGTTCATGTAAAAAAAAAAAAAGAAAGAGACTTTCTCTCCCAAATCTATAACAAGATAAAAGGGAAAAAGAAAGAAAGGGGGAGAGAACTCAGGAGTATAGTTTTTAGAATCGGCCTCCGGAACCTCAGATCTGAGCAACCGTCCGGCGATCGCCATGTCATCCGTCTTCTCCACCGTCCGATCCTTCTCTTTTTTCGCCTTCGTTTTCCTCTTTCTCTCTTCCGCTTTGGCTTCGGAGTCGGATCACAGGGTAATGTCTTTTTTCGATCCTAATCCTAACAGTGACGCTTTAGATCTTGTGATTTCGAATCAGATCTGCACAATTTTTCGTTAATTTCTCTTATGTTAGATTTAAGTGTTGCCTTTGACTTGTACACATTCCTGATTTACGTGTCATTTGGGCCAGTTGTTATACAAAAATTTTGTTACTATGTTGCCATTATCAGATGTAAGATTTGGGATCTCTGATCGATAGTCTCTTAATGTACATATAAATGCATGAAATTGTTCATGCATTTATATGTAATGTAAAGATTTGTATGCACGCTTGCGTTTATACCATTTCCACGTTTAGGTTAAACGTTTAAGTTACAGTTGAGGTAAGTCTGATTGCTGCGAAACTGGCATGCAGATGTTTTGCCCAATTTCATTCCTTCATTTGCTGATATGGCTCTTAGCATTTTCCAACTTTTTGTTTGTGAATTAATTAATACACTATTCTTTTTGACATTGGCTTTCAATTGGGTCTGATGGGTTTGATTGGATCTGCTTGAAAGAGTTGACTTGGTTCATTGCAGAATAATTGCTGGAACTCGAGGATGTCTTTGTTTTTACATAATTAATATCCTACCCTTTGCCATTGTAAGATGGTGTACTTGAGTATTAAGCTGTCTTGGTTGACTTTTTATAATAGCTGGTAAAATGTCTCGGCTAGGAATTATGCGAAAGAATATTATCAATGGTTAAAGTCCTTTCTTTCTCTCTTTCTCTTCATGCATAGGTTGCAAGATGGGGGGTCTTTGACTAAGTATAAGGCCATGCATTACTTCTATGCTTATATGATTTCTGGTGATTGATATTGGGTCAATAAACATTCTGGAGCTGGACCTAGGAATTTGATCTGTAGTCTTGAACTGACTTCTTAGTCTAAGCATTATTGGCTGGTTAGATGTATTTTGCAGCCAAAACTTATCATTCTATCCTGTGTTGAATTGACTTATCAGCTGGAAATCAGTTGTCAGGCAAATAGGCTGCCCCGCATATCTTCATTCATATATTTTACTATTGTTGACTGGTAAGCTTAGTATTTAATTTCATGGATTTTAGTTTGTTGGGCCTAGGCTTCACAGAGTTCTTAAACTATCATTCTGAATGCCAATCCTTCTGGAGATCAATGTTATATCATCCTATCTTGTGCATTTCCTTGTATTCAAATCACATTTCTTCTCATGAGAACTTAATATAATAATCATTCTTCTAATGTGTTTGATATTTAGAATTTTTTTTTGCTTTATATTGTTAGATTTCTGTAATATTTTTTGTCATGCTTCTATATTTCAATAGCTATGGGTAACTTTTATCAACAGTCATCTTGTTTTTCTTGCAGTATCAACCAGATGATCCAATTACTCTATGGGTAAATAAGGTTGGTCCATACAACAATCCCCAAGAAACATATAACTATTACAGCCTTCCATTTTGTCATCCGGGTGTGAATCCTGCTCACAAATGGGGTGGTCTTGGTGAGGTCCTTGGTGGAAACGAACTGATTGATAGCAACCTTGATATAAAGTTCCAAAGTACGCATTCTTTTTTCTTGTTAGACTCTTAATTTGATTGCTGCAATTTCTTTAATAATTAATTTTCCATGTGTTTGACTTTTTTTTTCCTTCTTCTGCTCCTCCTCTCTTTATTCTTCAACAGAGAATGTGGACAAAGGTACCATTTGTCAACTGGAACTTGATGAACCAAAGGTCAGACAGTTCAAGGATGCAATTGAGAACAGTTATTGGTTTGAATTCTTCATCGGTATGTTTAACATTATTTTATATGAAAGTAGTAAATGTGCATAGATAGATCTAAAAAAATTGATGCATGACAGCTCTTGATTGCTTAGTTGAGTACTGAAAATCCCAGGATCCAAAAGCATTGGAAGCTTGGATCTCTTGGTAGAATGGTAAGAGTGTTGCTCTGTTTGGGGATTTAGAGTTGTGGTGGCCAGTGAAAAATCTGATGCCATGCATGCCATTGAGTAGAGCACGCTATGAACTTGATAAAATGTTCCATGCATGTTGGGGATTACAAGGAAATTTGTGGAGACAGTAGATGCTGGGTGTGGATAAGTTACAGCTATATTACATGCATTGACCCATATAATAGGCCGAAATTATTTTTATGCTCACTTGTGTTTGATAAAATTGGCCTACAAGATTTCTCCTCCCTGTGATCTATCTTTAAATAAATACTGCTATTAATCATCAATTTCTCAAATGATGATCACCTAAACACCTAGGTTTTCTTTTTGGCTTAAATTGGAGAAATCAAAGGTTTCTTATCTGCACTTCAAAAATTTTAAGGAGCATGCCAAGTTCACATTCTTTATTGGATACATGGTTATGGATTGTTGCATAATTCAAGCTAGATCTACATTTGAAATCATGTGAGTAGATCTGGAGAGTGTGGATACATGGGTGTTTTCTCTTGGTATTGTATGTTTGTTTGCAGGCTTTAAGGGAATTTTTTGTCTATATGAAATACTTCTTCGGAGCACTTACTCTTTATCTTCCTTGCCTTTTTGTTGATGCATCTTGTGCTCTTCACGATGCTGAAAGTTCAGATGATCTGCCTTTATGGGGTATGCATTAGTCTATTTCCTGTTCATTTTAATCTGTTCAACTAATTCTTTCATAGATTGTTACTGAAGAATTTATCTTTTAACTTTTTAGGCTTTGTTGGCGAGCTGCATCCTGATAAGAACAGTGATAATGGCAAGCATGTCCTGTACACACATAAGAATATCATTATTAAATACAATAAGGATCAGGTTTGTGTTTAGCGAGATATATGACTTCCATATTTTGGAATCTACTGTTGTTATTGACTTCACTTCTATCTTGCAGATTATCCATGTCAATCTCACTCAGGAGAGTCCAAAACCATTGGAGGCAGGGAGACTATTGGACATGACATATTCTATCAAATGGATTCCATCTAATGTCTCTTTTGCTCGTCGCTTTGATGTTTATTTAGACTATCCCTTCTTTGAGCATCAAGTAAGTAGCATTATTGGTGATAGTTTCCTCTTTATGAGATTCTTTTTGCTGCTTCTGCAACAAAATATTTTATTTATCTTCACTACACTTGCATTAGGTTGTTCATTTTTCTTTTAATTTCCCAACAGCTTTAAATACATGTTGCAATATGCAGATTCATTGGTTCTCTGTTTTCAATTCATTCATGATGGTTATCTTTCTCACTGGTTTGGTGTCTATGATCTTGATGCGAACTCTGAGAAATGACTATGCAAAGTATGCTCGGGAGGATGATGATCTGGAAACTTTGGTGATATTAGTGGACCCTTTCTTTTTCCTCCTCTTTAAGGAAATTTCTGTTTTCTGAAAATTCATGTTCTCCTTGCTATTTCATGCATGTTATCAGGAAAGGGATGTGAGTGAAGAGTGTGGTTGGAAACTTGTCCATGGTGATGTTTTCCGGCCTGCTCGCAATTTGGTTCTGCTTTCTGCTGTTGTTGGTACAGGTGCTCAGCTAGCGTTGCTTGTTCTCCTTGTCATCTTATTGGCAATTGTGGGAACGTTGTATGTCGGGTATGTTAAGAAGCTAGTATGAAATTCAAAATTCATGGGAGCTGTGAACATAATTATTATTGCTGCCTATCTTAGATGCCACTTTTATGTGCATATAAAGTCAAGCATAAATGCACGGAGCGCTCCATGGGATCCCACTTCACAATAACTTATGTTTTATGAGCTTTTCTTTTTTTTATAGCATTGTCAATTTTCACCATAACTTATTTTTTCTTACCCCTCATTAATTCATAATGTTGAACCACATTATTATTTGGTTTTGGCATTTTATCTTTCAGCTTTGTACTACTAATAATCTCATATACTAATTATTGGTTCAGGAGAGGAGCAATTGTCACTACTTTTATACTGTGTTATGCTTTTACGTCATTCATTTCTGGTTATGTGAGTGGTGGAATTTACTCGCGAAATGGGGGTATGTGCTTTATCACTTCCCATTTTCACTTGCAGTTATTCCCTCTCCTTGTGGACCTTTCATTCTAAAAGGTTGGTTCTGTTGTTTTTTTTTTCTTTTCAGGTAAAAGTTGGATAAAGTCAATGATCCTAACGGCATCTCTGTTCCCATTTATGTGCTTTGGAATTGGATTCGTCCTGAATACAATTGCTATATTTTATGGATCTCTAGCAGCTATTCCTTTTGGTACAATGGTGGTTGTTTTCGTAATTTGGGCTTTCATTTCATTCCCTCTTGCTCTTCTTGGTACAGTTGTTGGAAGAAACTGGAGTGGTGCTCCAAATAATCCATGTCGTGTGAAGACCATTCCTCGCCCAATTCCAGAGAAGAAATGGTATCTTACACCCTCTGTGGTCTCTATGATGGGTGGACTTCTGCCGTTTGGCAGCATATTCATTGAAATGTATTTTGTCTTCACATCCTTCTGGAATTACAAGGTGAAACTCTTTTTCCTAGGTTTTATTTGCTTGATGATGAACTAAGCAAGTGCATCTTTGGAGATTGAATAACGTTTGCAATTCTTTATATCAAATGTTTGATTGAAAATTTGCCTCTTCGTGGGGGTCAAATGATTTGGATGTATGTTATTTGGTAACATATAGAAATTGTTTTTACTCCATAATGCTAGGTCTATATGTACCTATGTCTTGACTGTATGGAGACCTGGAGCCTCCTTAATACATAAGAATACATCTAATGTTTGTGCCAATTTTGTACTATCCAAAAAAAGAGAAAAGTATGGACAAACTCAAACTGGTGGGGCAGCCTTTCACACTTTCTTATGTTGTAAAATTGGTTTGGTGTAGCATTTAACATATTAAAATGAAAATAAAAATTTGTAGGCAGGTTGGTAATGGATTATTTACTGCAACTTAAACAGCTTCTGTGAATGATAAATGTTATAGAAAGAGGAAATAACTTTATGCTTTATTTTTCATGCACTGATGACTACTAGAACATGGTCTTCATTTCTTTTCTATGACATGGAAATTGTGTGTCCATATTCTAATAATTTCTGACATAATACACTTATCTTACATTTGTGTTTTGCAGGTTTATTATGTCTATGGTTTTATGCTGCTGGTCTTCCTGATTCTCATCATTGTGACTATTTGTGTGACAATTGTGGGGACATATTTCTTGCTAAATGCTGAGAACTATCACTGGCAGTGGACGTCATTCTTCTCTGCTGCCTCAACGGCAGTCTATGTGTATTTGTACTCCATATACTACTACTATGTGAAAACCAAGATGTCAGGCTTCTTCCAGACCAGCTTCTACTTCGGATACACTTTGATGTTTTGTCTCGGTTTGGGAATCCTCTGCGGTGAGTTTTGAAATCTTTAAATAATCTATCATATTTTGTAAGTAACGTTATCCAAACCTTTTTCATGTGTTCATACCTAATGAGCATTTTCTCTCATGACTTTTCCAGTGGAATACTGAGTATATCCTTATTCTTGTAGTGCTGCTGTCTACATGAAATCTTGCCCAAAATATTCTGGATCATTTTCCTTGGTTGAAATGTTGGACATTTTTGCAGAAGTTGTTGAGATGTATTGAAATGTGTGTAGATTATACAGGATTTTGCAGAACACTGAGCATTTTTCTCTGTTTTCTTATTGAAGGGGGGTTGGGCAGGTGGTGTTCTTGTAAATAATGCATGGTTGCTTGTTTTAGTTTCTCTAATGCTGTTTAGGACTGTATGATTTGTGCCAGATAGTAGTGGAGTTTATAGCATCTTTTGTTTCTGCTTCATGTGGTTTTTGATGACTTACCTTTCAATATGCAGGAGCTGTTGGTTATCTTGGTTCTAACTTGTTCGTAAGGAGGATCTACAGAAACATCAAGTGTGACTAGAACTTCGCTGTTGGAAAGTAGAACTATAAGTGCTTCCACGGGCAATATTAGTTGCCAAGGTAATAAACGTTGAGAGGAAGCTTCTGGTCATTAACGGGTACCCAGCAAAGCCTACCAATGAAATCACATGGTTTGATGGTAGCGATGTACTCTTGGTTCTGTGGATTAGGGTAAGCCCTAAGAATTTTGTTTTGCCTTTTTTTTTTTTTTTACCCGGCTGTAATTGGAAGCCCTGATTTAGAATTCAGATACTGTTATTATAATTCAGAAGGTAGCTAAAATATTAGACTCATGTCATATTGTTAATACATTTGTCCCTGTACCCTTTGCATATAGATGTGTCCAGTGTAAGAATTGATGGCTAAATTCACTTTGGATTTGTTTTCCTATTTGCATATGTTTTTTTGGGGACAAGGAAAGTATTAAGGAATTGAGTTAATTGGGTGTTTTCTTTATCTCAATTATATGCATACTGCAGTATTACTTGCCACAAGTTTCTCATTTCTATGATGTATGTGGTTCAATGTTTTATGCGGTATTAATTTTTGAGAAATTATCACGTCCATAGTGGAATTTTAATCTTCAATATCAGGATTAGTATAGTACAAAATTTAAAAAAGAAATAATTAGAAAAAATAAATTTGACATGGAATAATCTTTTAATTTTGCATGAGAAGTTTAAAAAACTATATTATAAGTGTGTAAAAAATGAGTTCTTAATTTTTATGCGAAATTAAATTACAGTAAAGTTGAAATTTTTTGGATAAAAAATTGAACTTGACTATATAAAAAGAGAAACATAGATACGAGGAGAAACTCTTGCAGAAGGAAGCTGTGTGCATAAATTTGGGTTTGTAATGTGCTATTGGAATATGTTGTCCGATCAATCTGTCTATCAATGAATCATAGCCTGTACAAAAAGACGTTCTGCGGTTGCGTTGCATCTTCCTGACTAAAGTTGTGGTGTGGCTTCTGCCAAGGGGCACAATCGGTACCTACAAAAGTTCAATGCCATTGACTTTTTTGAAGTCAATTTGTTTGATAATTTTAGAAACAAGGTGCCACATTAATTTAAATTAAAGTGATTGATTCGAGTTAATATGAAATTTTATATAAATCATAGTTGTACATTTAAATTTCTCAACACGAAAAGTCTGTTCATTAAAAAACGTAGACTTTTACTTATTTAGGTCATCTAAATATCACTTTTGATGAATTTATTACTAATCGCTTACAAGAGGAAAGAAATAAACTCATTTTATTTTTAAAAAAACAAGATATATCATTAACTCAAAATCAATTTACTTAAAATCAATTGATTCAATTGATTTGAGTTAATGTAAAATCCTATATAAACTACAATCAGACACTCAAACTCCCCTGAGAAGACGAATTTGTTTGATTTGTTCCACAATAATTTTGTGGTAATTAACATTTGGTGTTCTACCAACCCAAAAATTCACCGGGGGGATTGTGGCAACCACATTCACCGATTGATGGATATGGATCAACCTTTTTGTGGTGATAACAAGATAATGCAATCCAAGGTGGTTTGCCATGTGGAAGATAGGCCTCCATGCATGCCACTTCATCTCTTCCTTTTCCTAGCCACACTCTCCTCACAATCCTCTCCCTGTTATCAACACAGCTGCTCTCCCCAACTCCCCTTAGCCTCATTCTCAATACTCTTTCCCAATTCCACTGAAAATGGCTTCCACTACCTCTCTCTCCAGTGCCATGGTCAGCAGCATCTCCTTTGTCTGCCGCCAGCCGCTGACAAGCATACACTCCCTTCCTAACTTTAGGCAGGCTCTTTTTGGCCTAAAAGCCCAGAGAGGGGGCCGTCTTATTATGGCTGCATACAATGTAAAGCTGATCACTCCTGAGGGAACCAAAGAATTTGAGTGCCCAGATGACGTCTACGTTCTTGACCAAGCTGAGGAACTGGGTATTGATCTTCCGTACTCATGCAGGGCTGGTTCTTGCTCTTCATGTGCTGGAGTGATTAAACAAGGAAGTGTGGATCAGTCCGATGGTAGCTTCCTTGATGATGACCAGATCGCTGAAGGTTTTGTTCTCACTTGCGTCGCTTACCCAATAAGTGATGTTGTCATTGAGACACACAAGGAGGAAGCGCTTGCCGGTTAAAATATAAACTCTTGATCTTTTCTTTCTGATCTTTCTTGTTCTGTTTGTCTGTTGCTATTATATTGGTTTGCTTAGTGTGGTCAAGGGATGTTACTGTTTATGCCCCTGAATGAGTTACATGCTTTTAGGTTTTTGTTCATTTGCAGTCACAAATGATATTGCTGTAGCCCTAATAATCTTTACTTGTTTTGCTGAGAATCAGATATCTCATTGTTCTTGTTCTCTCTCTCTCTCTCGCTCTTTATTTGCATATGCTCAAAGTTCAAGCAAAGTTTGATACTAACGATTTACTAAGCTACATTATAGATCCATCAAAAACTCAATACGTATTTCACATAAAGCTGGTTTTGATATGATTTCCATCTAAAGGATGTTAAAAAGTTAAAAGAAAGAAGAGAAGTGGACAATGTAAGATAAACATTCAGGTTCTTTGAAACAAGTCATACAGAGTGTCGATGACCTTCCCTTCTTCCGCAATGCCTTCATTGTGTTCTTCGTCAATACCCAGAGGCTGTGATGCATTAATTGTTATAGACTCGGATAAATACTCCGCCACCCGTGATGAGAATTCACCTTCAGCAGGGTTGGAAGTTCCGAGAATGGCCTCCGCCTGTTCCGAGGATGTTATAGTTACCTGATTTAGTGACTCCATGGAGGAGCTTCTTGATAAAGTGCCAGAAGCAACTGTGATTTCGTCCTTTTCATCATCAATTACTGATTCAAGCGAACAAACAGATCTTGCAGTATGGTAGTGCACAGATTCACGTTTAGACTTCTCTTTTACTCTTTTACACCAACCATGAAGTGATTCTCTTACACTCTCAGAAACTAAGGCTTTCTTACATCGGGATCCCATCTGAAACCATCAAGAGTTGAAATGTGAGAATATCATACAGAACCAATTATGCATGTATGTAGTGTAACTCTTTTTACCATGCTAATGCAGGAGCCTAAGAACATTAGTGAAGCAAAAATTGCGAAAAAAGCCGGGGGCGAAGAACTTCCAGAGTTAGTTAGAAAAGCTATGAAATTACGTGAAAAGAGATGCATCCACTGAGTAATGCTTGTCAGGTTCGAAGAAGCAAACATGGAGACGAGTGGTGCAATGTAACGAAGAAGTAAAATTTGTGAGTTAAAGACTGGGGAAAACCTGTGTAACAATTACATTCAAAGGCACTGTGATATAGCTACACCAGAACTGAATAAGAACCCTGCATTTACCACAAGTAAAGCCACATTATAGTCAAAATATTTTCATCGTTTTCAGTAAATAAGTTGCTGGATGTTTATCAAATTTGCATTGAAGCTCTCTAATTGAAAGAAAGCATACCCAGAAACCAATCGAATGACTATCATAAGATGATTTTCCATGAAGCACGACCTCTGATTAAGTCCCCACTAGACAAATGGAGAATAGGGAAATAAGGAAGAAAGTAGTTTTGCAAATTGCATGCAACAATCTATTTGCTGTTGAATGAAAGGCTGGCAGACAGAACAAAGAGATAGAGAGGTAAATCTTACCAATGACCAGATAAAGGTTGCCATCTCAAAGGCATTCTGCATGAACAAGAATGAGGAATAACCGAATAAGATCAGATATAGATATTAATCAGAATCACACATGAGAAATAATATGTCAAGCATAGGGTTTACCTGAAAAATGATAAACTGTATCAACTTGAGTAATATCTCTGGTTTTCCAAACCAGAACAAATCATCACGTGGTTTGACTTGGGCTCCAATAGGTGGACCAGTTTGTTCCTTAATTTCAAGTGCTAATGAGGAAACAACATGCTGAAGCTTTGTCCCAACTACCATCACAAGCTTTGACATGTGAAACAATTTTGCAAGACATACACTAATCATTCATCTTTCAATGATTAAAATCACTTAAAATTTTCATCTTTTTTTCTGAAATCAATTGCCAGCAAGAGTCAGTGTACTTACAATAGCAGGGATGAAAGAGAGCCAGAAGTAAATATTCAGTCCTGCAACACATAAGGCAGGAAAAAAAAAAAGGGGATAACTGGACAACGAATCTGGATAAACTTGCACCTTGTGTTAAAATCAGTATGCCTCAATAGGGTTTTTCTTTTGGAACAATTTTCGGTTTTCTCAAGGATGTAAAGCAGGACAGAGGACAACTTTAAAGATCACAAGGGGTGCACTCTTTCCTTTGGTCCTAGTCTGATGTTTAGCCAAGAACCGGGTTAGGGAAATTTGTCCTCTGTCAATCTACATTTGTTTAGCTTATGAACTTGGGAATCTCAAAAGTAAAACCAAAACATATATAAGAAACAAAAAGAGAGTGTTAAAGTTTGACTAGTTACCATGAATATTTACAAAGATGCAAGCTATGGCATATCCCCAAAGTGGCCAGCTGCAAAATCAAAACGCAGTTCTGCTATAGTTGATTTTTATCAGATATTCTAGTTATTGACAAGTGTATTATGAACCTAGTCAAAATAGATAACCTGCATTGAAACATTGCAAGCAAAATAGGATCCATAGTGGCAATAGTTGTAGTTCATTTTTTTTTTTTTTTTTTTTTTCAGTAATATATTTGATCATTGGAATTATAATATATAAAAAAATTCATAGGATATAGGTTTAAACCTGAAATTTAATTTGTATGAGTGCTTACCTAATACCAAGAATGCCATGAAACTCATCTTCCATGCTTCTAACCATATATTTATGGAAATTATAAGAAAGTGGTAGGTTGTGCTTCTGAAAAGTCGACAAGAACAAGAGGAGAATATGTAACTTAAGACCTATAACAAGAACCATCCAATGGCAAATCAGCAAGATGAGCAAAATAGGTAATCAAGGGAAAATAGATACCCACAGTAATGAAACCCAGACGCAGTGCAAGGTAATCTGACTTCCTTATAGAGCTCTTAAATTGTCGAAGAAAGCAAAGCTGCATATACATACCACAAAACCGATTACTTAAAGACACAAATCAAACAATATCAAAAGAGGGGATGGAAATAAAAGAAAAAGTTGCAATGGAATATTATAATGAGAGTGAAAAATACAAAACTCAATCCTTGTTGACATTCTCGAGTTTTGGGAACTCAGATGTATGCTTGTCAAAAGTTAGGAGCACCATTCCAGACAATATATTTTGGAGCTACATATATGTGGGACAGGAATATGCCTAAAAATCTAAAACGGATGCATCTTAATGCTTAAACGTTGGATCATCAGACAACAGAATTTTGAGCTTAGTTACGAGACATGTTTCAGCATTAAAGATGCAAAGAAGAAGTGAAAAGCAATATAAAGATGAAAATATGACTGATTAAGGAAAATGCAGAATATATAGTTGAGCATGAAAATCACCATCCAAATGAGAATTCGACTCCTGCTCCATGGATGAGATGTGTGATGGAAAACAAAGGTAGATTGTCGCCTCATCACTTTGTTTCTCTTTGCTATGCCAAAAAAATCATAATATGAAAAACTCGTTTTATTGATTGATAACGCTGCTACAAGAATACCAATGAAAAAGAAAAAGAGCAGTTTCAAGGAACTGGTGCTGGGTCATTTTTATTAATATTTCATTACAAACCTTGCAAGCTTTCGTCAGCTATGAAGCTGGCTTGGTTTTCCCATTTTCTCCAACTATAAATCTACAAAGATGTGGAATGAAAAACTATAAACCACTATTCCAATGTAGCCATCACAGATCTCATGAAAATAAAATCATATTACATCCCACTGTAGCATTTCATAAGATATAAGAAATATATAAAGATGCAAATCCAACAAAACTAAGAAAAATCAACATATCACACACAAAATAAGTGGAATGAATCAATTATTCTAACAAGAATATGGCGATTTTTAAACTTCTGCAGAAAGATTTGGGATTTCAGATTCTATCATGCTTGCTATAACTTCTAGTTTATTTGAAAGAAAATCAAGGATGAAAATAATGATGTGTAATTCGTTTAGATGATAAGCGGAAATGCCCTTCAGTTCACTTAATTCACATGCATGATTCTATTAAGATCCTATTAACTAATTTTAATTAGTAAACCTAAAAGTGGAATTGGAAAGATAGAGGCTGCACCTTGCTCATAGCCAGGCCAACTGCCACAAAACTGTAGAGGACATGAGTGATGCCTAGAACAAACAAAAACCGGTGGAGTTGCTCAAGACCTTCTAATGATACGAATGGTTCGCGGCCCTGCATTCAACCATTATCATTGAGACAGCTAATTCACTGACATATACTTACCAAAACTAAAACTAGATGAGCAGCAATTTACCTCACCACATTGATGTGATAGACGAGTATTTAGTCCTTTAGGAGGAATAGCAGTCTCATTTGGGAAAGAGGAAGCACTTTCAAACAACCAATTCTTATTTATGCCATAATCCATCTCTGAGCAAACATAGAATCGGCTGATGAAAAGAGATGAATTTACACAAATCTCGGATATCCGTCGTGCCCATTGTGCCAACAACAAAGATAAAAGACCAAGCAGCATCAACTCTAACAGGAAGGAAAGGGGAAATGGAAAAAGTTACAAGAAGGAAAATCAAAATCTGATATCCTTACTACTCTCACTTCTCAACACTGCAACGACGACTTAAAAAGAGATCATATCAAAGCGCAAAATATGTCTCAACACTTAGGCAACAGAGGATCTGGCATGATGAAAAACTTACCTTCCTTAATCTTCTCCAAAGAAGCAAACAAAGCTTTCCTCCTCGTCTTCTTTAACCACTATACAGAATAAAAATCAGATTCAGATTAACTGGAAAATACTAATTTTCTGTTTTTCTGCTTCTCTCTTTGTTTTACTGGACAATGGACATAAATTAGAAAGTGAAACAAAAGTGCAAAGACCGTATCCCCAATTGGTAGTGTTTCCATTTATCAATAACCATGGCCACAGTGAGCCAAATCTCTGATAGGTTCCATTTACACCCAATCTAACATCAATAATTGAATCTTTAGCTTCCTCCAAACCTTCTAAAGGTGACACAATATAGCATATTAGTGAGTATGAGTGATATAAGCTAAAAGTGCAATTTCTTTCATTAGCCAACAATTTTTAAGATACCGAAGAGTGTATTGTTAGATACATTGGCTTATAGCAGTATTAAAAAGGGGAAAATCAATCGAGTTCGATTTCCTACTTTCCCATGAAGCAAAATTGAAATGATTAGAACCAAGCCAAGTAAAATGTGGGTGCCAAATCCAAAGCTAGAAGCACATCTTGTTTCATTTTACCCGATTTTATCAGCAACCAGGCAACAGGCAACCAATTCTGAAGAATAACTAACCCCCAAACTTTAAAAAAAACAATGTAAACAATGAAGTGTTCAGCAGTCAGCAGTCAGCAGCCACAACCAGAGCTTCTTTCATGTTTTCTAAAATTTCTCGGAAACCAAACATAACACCAGTCTATAGTTGCCTTCCCAAACCTTGTAAGAACATTTTCCAGTCCCAGCCAAATTTGTCAACATACCATGTGGGCCCCAAACTAAAAAAAAAACAAAGAAATAGTTTCTTTCGTTTCCCATACTTTATCAGAGTCAGAACAAAAAACCTTACCTTTCCAAATCTATAAATGGACCGTTCAACCAAAAAACAAACAAAAACCAAAACTGTAATGACAGAAGCAACAGTGTAAGTTGGAGTCTCCTCCAAAGACCTTCCTTGCATTATCAACTTCTGCATATTTCTTACATCAACAAAAACCTGAACTCTCTCACTTCAGTGCCACTACCACCATTTTTTTTCTAGAAGAAAAACAAATGACAGCTTTGGACAGCTTTCTAGAGAATAAGAAGAACCCAGTTGGTCGAAAGTGAAAGATCCAGGAAACAAGGAAGTGAGAGGGAGGAAAGATTGACAGTGCGTTGAAGAAAAGTGAGACGTTTTGTCAAAGGTCTTTAGGTAACAGAGCATGGGTAGTGTTACAACATTAGTTTAATGTTTACTGTTTTGTCTTTGTTTGTGATTCGTTAACGGACCCACCTTCGTTTTGCATTGAAATCGATGCAATGATCTCTCCAAATCCAACCAACCCACGTGGGAAACGAGTCTCTTCTTTTTTTTTTTTTTTCTGTCCCTCTTGCTTTGAAGCTTTTGAAGATCTCGGTGTTGGTTGAATATGGTTCCGATCCTACTTCGTTTGGTAAAAGGTATTGAAAGATACCGAATTCTGCACCGAAAAGTTGAGCAAGAAAGGGAGGAAAGAGAGAAAGTGCATGTCCACTAAGGAACAAATTTTCTTCCATCGTTTTGTAAACATCGATTGCAACGTGCATTTAAAAAATAAAAAGGAAAGAATTAGATGAAATTGGTAAGCTTAAGTTGGTGAAATTTTTTATTAATTATTAATTAAAATTAAAATATTTTTAATAATTTAAATTTAAAATATCATCAAATTTTAATTTTTACGTTAACTCAATAATGAAAGTATCATATAGAGACTCAAGTAGGCTACCATGAAATACAATACCTTCTTTCTGAAGAGATTTGATTTAAAACTATTACATATATAAGGTCCAATATTGAATTGTGCTTTAGCAAACTTCCCCTTACGTTAACGCCACTACACCAATCATTTAAAGGTGGGTACCGCCATTAAATCTCCACCGCCCATCAAACCCGTAAAAGCGCCAATGGAGACGGAATATTTTGCTAATCCACCTTTTATCGCCGTCGGAATAAAAGGTCCACCAACATTGATGAAACTCAACTGTACGTTAATATCAAGAATAGATTGTTGTAAATAAATTGAAATTTATATATTCATGTAAAATATCAATAATTTATATATTTTTATTATATTTTATATAAAAATTACGTATTATAATTTATATTTATATAAAAATATAAATATATTTTTTTAATTTTGTTAAATTTATTTATAATTTTTATTAAAATTTTAAATTATATCATTTTCGTATTTTTTATTTATATTATTTTTATGTCGCATTATCATATTATATTTTAAATTGTAAAATCTAATTACAAACATGTCTCGAGGACATAACACTTGCTAACAATTTGTGAATTTATATATTTGATTTAAGTTTTAACAGCAGTGAAATTAAGTTTTAGGGAGGAAGACTCATGGGATTTTGATTTTTTTTTTTTTCAATGAGAGAGAAAGAATTTAGAAAGAGAAAAAAAATAATGAATATTTTTTGTAATTTATAATGATTTAATTAGCTTATATAGCACTGACATTGTAACCATGTCATGTTTCTGATAAATAAATGTAACGAAATCTCTTAAGTAACTAATTTTGAAATATTCAATAAAGTTTAATAACATTAATAAGATAAATTAAAATTTCAGTGACCTAATTAAAAATATAGTTCATTGATCAAGTGCGGTTTATTAAATTTATTTAAGTTTTGTAAAAAATAATAATAATAAGAGTATAAAAAACCAACAAAGAAATACAAATATTTTATTTATTTTATTTTTTTAGATATTTAGTGATCACTATAAATAAAAGTATTATATCCATGGTTATATAAAGTTAAAAAATAATATTGAGATTTTAATTTGATTTTTTTTTTTTTGTAGATTGTTACCAATAAATATTTTTCCTAAAAAACTCATTCATTTTCCTTATGGGTTCTTATTATCAATAAATTTTCAATTGAATTTCTTTTTTAAAAAATTACATTTGCTATATTAAATTTAGATTTTCTAACATTTTTGGTTTTTATTTTTTTTTTAATTTAGTGGGTAAATTAATTCATATAAGTGATATCTTAAGTGGATATTGATTATCAAATTCCAAGTCATAACTCTTTATCTCATTATTCTCTCAAATTATTTTCTCTTCTCACATTTGTTTTTTTAATTTTATTTTCTATTAAAACCTAGAAACAGAATAATCTTTTCCTAATGTGAAAAATCCACTTGAACAAAAAAATTTCACAATTTTAGAAAAAATATCAAATTTAGAATCTATTTAATAATCATCTAACAATTGATTTTTCATTCACATTATTTGCAATCTTTCTTATAATGAACGTACGTTTATTTTCTTTTTTCAAATATAAAAATTATATATTTTTTATATTATCGTTGGGTTATATTTTTAGTTTAATTGTAAAAATTTTAATTAAAAATATGAAATAAATCACAACCGTTGATTAGTAACTTTTTGAATTTAAAAAAAAAATTCGAAGATGAAATAAAAGGGAATTTATTTGAGATTGTAAATTAGTTCAAATTTAGCTGATATTCATTTATTTTTTTTTTATTATAAAAAATATGATATTTTTAATTTTTATTCAATGTAACTTTTTCACTTTTAAAATCTATAAAACATTTGAAATATATGGAGGTGATTTTTTTATATATAGAATAAGTATAATTCATGAGAAAGAAAAGGAAGTCGAAATCAAAATCAAATTGCTATGTTACTTGGTCCTTTGGTCTTTCGAACATACATCAGGGACTAAATTGCATAAGTGACAATAGACTTGGGCCCTTACCGAAATAAGAAAAAAAATTGCCCTTAACGAAGAACATTTTGTCTAAATCTGTATTTAAACTCCACGAAACGGTCTGACTCTAGAAAGTTTCCTAAACCCTGCTGAGCCCTAGCCACTCTCCTTCTCCTTTTGAAACCCTGGCCATGGCTTTGCACCCACTTCGTATTCGTCGAACGCTAACTACTCTGACCACCCTCCACCGCTTTCTCTCCGTTCCCAATCCTACGGTCCCTACAATTACAGTCCCCATTTCCAATTCCACCCATACGCCACCTCCATCATCATTAGCAACATCTTTCGGTATCTTTCAATCTCGATGGTTCAGATCATCGGGGGGTCCGTTGTCATCGCCGAGACAATACAAACTGTATAAGGAAGGAGATGAGATCACAGAAGATACGGTTCTATTCGAAGGCTGTGATTACAACCATTGGCTCATCGTTGTTGATTTCCCTAAAGATAATAAGCCTCCTCCTGAAGAAATGGTTCGTACTTACGAGAATATTTGTGCTCAAGGCCTCGGCATCAGGTCACATTTATCTCTCTCATAAATATTTGCTTTTAAAAGTTTTGCCCAATTATTGAAAATAAATTTGTAGGATTTTTTTGAAACTATTTGAACAATTTGTTTGATGGGTTAGCTTGGGGTAGCCTCCATGTTTAAATGTTTAGTTTTTAGTGGATAGTAATGGCTGTCCTGATTTTGCGTCAATTTGTTTTAGTGTGGAGGAGGCGAAAAAAAGAATATATGCATGTAGCACAACTACTTATGAAGGTTTTCAGGTTCTAATGTCTGAAGAAGAGTCTGAAAAGTTTAATGGTAAGTGTTTTACAGCTTATGATATCATATTACTCGCAAAATGTTATTTGCTTTAACGATTTTGATCTCTTTGTGGCTGAGAGATAATGAAAAAAAAAGCAAGGTTCTGATTTTCTGAACTTTTTGTTTAAACAGATATTCCCGGGGTCGTTTTCGTATTGCCAGATTCATACATTGATCCAGTAAACAAGGAGTATGGAGGTTCGGCGTTTTCATGTTCTGAAATCCCCCCCCCCCCCCACCCTGTTTTACCACTTATTGGTTGATTTTATTTAATTGTACAACATTGTGATGGTATTTGACCCTGGAGTGTAATATTTTGCTGTGATTGCCAGGAGACAAATACGAGAATGGTGTTATCACACCAAGACCACCCCCTATTCAGTATGCTAGAAACCAAGGTGGTAAGTTCCGTCAACATAGAAATCCTGACCAACCAAGATATGATCGACAAGGACAGACAATGCCAAACCAGCAAGGGAATCCACCATACAGTCAGCAGGGATTTGTGCAAGGGGATGGAAGGAACTATAGGCCTCCACAAAATTATCCACCTCAACAAAATTATGGTCAGCAGCCACCAATGAACAGAGATTATGTTCCCCAAGGAAATGATCCTTCATATCAGGGCAGTTACAACCAAGGAGGGCGGGGAAATTATAATTCCCCAGAAAGAAAGGACTTTTTTCAAGGAGATCATAGGAATTATATGCCTCCCGAGCAAAGGGACTTCGGAGGAGATCAAAGGAACATAGGTTCTTCACAAGGTGGAAATTATGGGCAGGGACCAAGTTCCACCTATGGGCAGAATTTTGGGCAAGGGACAAATCCTGCCTATGGGCAGAATTTCAGTCCAAGGGTAAATCCTGGTTATGGGCAGAATTCTGGGCAAGGAGCAAACCCTGGCTATTGGCAGAATTCTGGGCAAGCTGCAAATCCTGGCTATGTTCAGAATTCTGGGCAAGGAGCAAATCCTGGCTATTGGCAGAATTCCGGGCAAGGAGCAAATCCTGGCTATGTTCAGAATTCTGGGCAAGGAGCAAATCCTGGCCGTGGACAGAGTTATGGGCAAGGACCAAACCATGTATTTGATCAGAACTATGGGCCAGGGGCAACCGTTGGCTCTGGGCAGAGTTATGGCCAGAGAGCAAATCCTGGTTATGGACAGACTTACCCGGGGCATGGAGCTGGTCAAGGGTTCTCACAAGCAGAGCAGAAAAATCTGCAAGGAGAGACATCCGGATCAATGGGGCAAGGAGGGGTGCAACAAGTAAGGCATTCCTTTTTAATCAATTTGAAATTTTGGATAAAATCTCATAAATTGATGTTGAACCTTCTTTACCAAGTTACTCTTTCTATTGAGTTATATAAGGTGTTCATGCAACATTTTCTAATAGAAATTTTTTTCTGCAGGGAAGAAATTAAAGGTTCCAAATGGCTCTTTGAGATGATTGGGAGTGTTGACATGCAAAGGAGTCATGGTGTCTTTTCTTTCTCTCTTTAAACTCTTTATATAAGGGTTACATCTAGCAGCTGTGATAGTAAATAGTCAACTGTTTTATCTCTGTTTGATTCAAGAAGTTTGAGCTTTTAGCTACAAATTGGAATCTGATTTTGTCTTTTTGTTTTTACTTTCTCTGTTTCTTGGTGAAAATATAAGAATTTCTCTCATCTTCCTATATCAAATCTGTCTTCTTGTTGGAGAAAATTATGTTTGGAGGTTGCCATTTAACTTTTCTGTCACCGTAAGATGAACAATTGTGAATCACTTCTTTTTAAAGCCATCCACAAGTGCTAATTGATTCTGATTTTTAAAGACAATCTAGTACTTTTGTAGGAAACATACTTTTGGAAATCTATGTAAATATACGATAGCATATAATAGCAAACAAACATAGACCTAACTACAATAGGCTATACACTACTATTACTATTATTACTTCATTTTGCCCGAGTCCTTTATTGTGATGATTAATATGCTGCGTCCTGCAAACATGGGGTTTTTTTTGTTCAATTAGAGATGCTCACTAGCTTTAAGATGTAGGTGTAAGTCATTTATTGAAAGGACTTGATGGATCATGTATCAGTCCAGACTTCAGATAATGAATTCTTCCTCTCCGTCATTCTGGCAGATTGTTTAAACTTGATGTTATGGGTTTAGGTTTGGTAAAAATGAGATGTTTCAACAATTTGTTCTTTGCTTAATTCCCTAGTCCGAATGGGTGGTGCAGTTCTGGAAGCAGCAGCACCGTTGGGGGAACAATTTTTCTTCGCGGTGAATTTGATTTGTGGATTACAGAAGCTAAATCTCTTCCAAATATGGATTTAGCTTCAGACAGAACGAAGAGATTTTTCGCTATGTTTAGAGCTTGCGACTCTTTGGAAAGAAACCAAAGGCCTCAGGCAAGCATTCTATGATTACAGGTGAGCCTTATGCGTCTGTCTGCCTTGCAGGGGGCTTCAGTTGCTCAAACTAGAATAATTTCCGATTGAGAGAATTAGGTTGATAAGGGTTCAGATTTGATTTAGTTCAGTTTGATTTAATTTTTTTGATAATGTACAATATTATAAAATTTAAAAAATTAGATTCAAATTCGAAAGATTTTTTCTTGAAATCGATTCAAATTAAATTTTATTAATTTGATTTAATTCATTGATTTTTAAAATTTATTTTTTATTTAATATATTATTTTAATATATTAAAATAAGTTTAGATATAAAACAAAAATTTTATTTTATAAAAATTAAAAAATATATATAAATTAATAAAAACATATAATTCAATTTATCACTTATCGATTTAAATTTTGATTTAATATATTAAATATTCAAATTTAATTAGAACTGAAAAAAAAAATTCTATTCGAATCAAATTGAACATAATAATTCACCCCTGATGAGAACCCATTAAATTACGCCAGTTCCACATCATGTAGTAAAAATTGAGTTTCATGTCAAGGACAATGATGTTCTTGGCGCTCAACTTTGAGCAGAAGTTGAGATAGCTGTTGAAATAGTTGTTTCAGGATGAAATTAAACGATTGGCTCCCATTTGTCGGTCTGTTTGGAAATTGTTTGGAACCCATCCTGAAATGCATGTTTCCCTTCCGTTTAGGCCAGTGAGAGAAAACCCTCTATATCAACAGGATGTTGGGCCTCGACCAGATTACACGGGATTCAAAGAAAAGATATCTATAAGCTTTATATAAATAATAAAATTATATTGAGTGGATTTATCAAAGAAGACCGCATAGCGCAGTGGATTAGCGCGTCTGACTTCGGATCAGAAGGTCGTGGGTTCGACTCCCACTGTGGTCGTTGCTTTTTTTTCTTTTTTTTTTTAATCTCTGTTTTAGTCCTATGTCCCAAACGTTAGGGTTTGGGATGATCACCCCGGATTTCACTTCCTCGGAATCGGATTTGGGTTCCCCCTTCTTACTCTTAGCAAATTAGGGTTTTAGAGCTCTGTAACTTTGCAAGCTTTCTCATCATTTTCTGCTAACTTTGTAATCAAAGTCTTTTTTATTTGGGGGGGGGGGGTAAAATTAAAGAAATTTTGCTTCTCTAATCCATCAAGGGTTTTATTTGCTTCGAAAATTCATAGCGAAATGCTCGAGTCCAGAAATAAGTTCTTTCGCTGAGAAAAATGGCTTCAACAGGGCAGCCACCGTCACTTAAAAGAAGAGATGCGCCATTAACAAGAGAAGGAGATCAGCTTACTATAACACCTTTAGGCGCTGGCAGTGAAGTTGGTCGTTCTTGTGTTTACATGTCTTATAAAGGCAAAACTGTACTGGTATGCTTGCTATTTCTTTAAATTTCTTCTTTTTACTCCTGGGATTTTTTTATCAGCTTGTTTGATTGTGATTTTTCCTATAAATTTTGTTTTTTTTATTGAATGGTAGTTTGATTGTGGAATTCATCCGGCTTACTCGGGTATGGCTGCTTTGCCGTATTTCGATGAGATTGATCCTTCAACAATTGATGTCCTTCTTATCACCCAGTATGGCTTTTTTTTTAGTACTTTTTTTTACCTTATGTTTTCTTTAATTTTTTTTTTATACTTCAAATTTGGTCCTGGGTAGAGTTAACTGTTATATTTCATTGCTTTTGTCATTTGTGCAGCTTTCACTTAGATCATGCTGCGTCCCTACCATATTTTCTAGAGAAGGTTTGTTTCGTTCAGAGTGAATTACCATATGATTTTACTATGTGGTCTTGTTTAAGAACTAATGTGTTTATATTTTCAAACAGACCACGTTCAGAGGTCGAGTTTTTATGACTCATGCAACAAAAGCTATCTATAAGCTCCTTCTGACTGATTATGTCAAAGTGAGCAAATTTTCAGTTGAAGACATGTTATTTGATGAACAAGACATTAACCGCTCCATGGATAAAATTGAGGTATATATTCATAGTTTTCCACTTTTCCTAAATGTTTATTGTCCATCTGTTCTAGGGCTGTATTTTCCAGTTAATCTGGTCCCAATGTTGTCAGATTTGCTTTGAAGTTATTTCAGTTGTACCTCTGTGCTTTTTAACCATTAACCAATTGAAAACTATTTGTTCTGTTATATGCTTGACTGCAGGTTATTGATTTCCACCAAACGGTGGAAGTAAATGGCTTTAAATTTTGGTGCTATACTGCTGGTCATGTCCTTGGTGCTGCCATGTTTATGGTTGACATTGCTGGTGTTCGAGTCCTCTACACTGGAGACTACTCTCGTGAAGAAGATCGTCATCTCTGTGCTGCTGAGCTCCCACAGTTCTCCCCTGATATATGTGTTATTGAATCCACTTATGGTGTCCAGCTCCATCAATCACGACACATTCGGGAGAAGCGATTCACTGATGCTATCCATTCTACTGTTTCTCAAGGGGGTCGTGTACTAATCCCAGCATATGCTCTTGGTCGTGCCCAAGAACTTCTATTGATCCTTGATGAGTATTGGTCTATCCACCCTGAGCTTCATAACATTCCTATATATTATGCTTCTCCGCTGGCAAAAAAGTGCATGGCTGTTTATCAAACATACATACTTTCCATGAATGAGAGAATTCGCAACCAGTTTGCAAACTCAAACCCCTTCAAGTTCAAGCACATTTCACCTTTAAATAGCATTGAGGAATTTAGTGATATAGGCCCATCTGTTGTAATGGCAAGTCCTGGTGGACTTCAGAGTGGGCTGTCACGCCAACTCTTTGACATGTGGTGTTCGGATAAGAAAAATTCTTGTGTTATACCCGGTTATATTGTCGAAGGGACACTGGCAAAAACAATTATTAATGAACCAAAGGAAGTCACACTCTTGAATGGTCTCACTGCTCCTCTCAACATGCAGGTTCATTACATTTCATTCTCTGCCCATGCAGACTATGCACAGACGAGTACATTTTTGAAAGAGCTCATGCCTCCCAACATAATTCTTGTTCATGGAGAAGCAAATGAGATGGGAAGACTCAAGCAGAAGCTTATCACCGAGTTTACTGATGGCAACACCAAAATCATTACCCCTAAGAATTGTCAGTCTGTTGAGATGTATTTTAACTCCGAGAAAATGGCTAAGACCATTGGAAGATTGGCTGAAAAGACCCCAGATGTAGGTGAAACTGTCAGTGGTGTTCTGGTAAAGAAAGGTTTCACATACCAGATAATGGCTTCCGATGATCTCCATATCTTCTCCCAGCTATCAACAGCAAATATCACTCAGAGGATTACTATCCCATTCGCTGGTGCCTTTGGTGTGATAAAGCATCGACTTGAGCAGATATATGAGAGTGTGGAATCTTCGACTGATGAAGAATCTGGGGTTCCAACATTGCGAGTGCATGATAGAGTTATTGTGAAGCAGGATTCAGATAAGCATGTCTCACTGCATTGGACATCAGATCCCATAAGTGACATGGTGTCAGATTCCATTGTGGCGTTGGTTCTGAACATTAGTCGGGAGATCCCTAAGGTTGTAGTTGAATCTGAGGCTGTAAAATCACAAGAAGAAAATGGGAAGAAGGTGGAAAAAGTTATTCATGCCCTCCTAGTTTCACTCTTTGGGAATGTCAAATTAGGAGAAAATGGAAAGCTTATGATAAGTGTTGATGGTAATGTGGCTTATCTTGATAAACAGAGTGGCGAAGTTGAGAGTGAAAATGAAGGTCTGAAGGAGAGGGTAAAGACAGCTTTTCGACGAATTAAAAGTGCAGTAAAGCCAATCCCTCTCTCTGCATCTTAGTTTTAGACTTTTAGTTTTTTCCATTATCTCTTGGTTTATTGATTCCTCTGTTAGCTTGCTTGACTTTGAGGATAAATTTTGGATTTGCAAATACCGCGAGGCATATTTAAGTTGTTTCCCATGCCTATTTCCAAGCACTAGTTCCTAGTTTGTATAGATTAGCACTGAAGCAGGACATAACGTTGTAGCTGTTCCATTTATAAGCTCTGTTGTTATTCTTCTTCTTCAAGATTTCATCATCACTTTTTATTCTAATAATTTGATCTGTTAAGGTTCATGGTTTTCTGTTCTTTATGTGAAAAAAGGGTACATCAATTATGCTGGTCGTTAATCAAAAACCAAGTATCCATTGTTGCGATTTATATGATGATTGTAGTATATTATCATATCCTATGAGTTCATTTATCCAGTAGTTTGTCTTTTGAGCACATACTGATTGAAACTTGAAACGCCAGGAGCTGTTTTTGTTTTCAGCTTCAATCTGCATCATGGTGGTAGCATTGATCTTCATAATCTTTTGTTGTTAAAATTTTGGTTGCTTGATCATGAACTAGATTTTACTTGCATGATCTTTTTAAGCTAATCTCCAACATGATATGACCATTATTTCTTGATAATTGTTTATTTGTATTGTTGTTGATAATCCATTTTTCTATTCAAGCATGCTTTCTTTGGTTAGAACACTGATATTTTGCAAACCAATTCCCTTGAATATGGACAGTTGCCTTCATGCATTATTGTAGGATAATGTTTATTATTTGTATTATAAGCATTGCTTTTAGTAGCTTCATTCATCATTTTCCCTCTTTGCAAAATAAAAAAAAAAAAAAGACTTTGCTCCTATTGTTTTATACATGGCTAGTGAAATTTATTAAAATATTACCACATGTATTTTTATTTATTATATTAAATTTATTAATTATTTTAAAGATATCTCAATAAGAAATGTGATGTCACATTTCACTTGTGACCAAACATGAAGGAATTTACTATTAATGGTGACCTCCTAAACTATGTGATCCAAGAAAAAATACAGGCAAGGGAAAATGACAAGGGATTTAACAATTTAATGGTTTGATTAAAAAAATTAATCACAAAAAAGGAAAAAACAAAAAAAAAAAAAAACTGCAATGGTTCAATGATGTTTAATCCCAACATTAGAGCGGTCCATGTAAGCTTCCATGTTCAGTGACGTGCTTTTTTGACATTGAGATCCTGTTTGTCGTTTTCCATTTGTTTTTGTCAACACAAAAAAGAATAAAAATGTTACCTAATTCATATTTTACAGAAACGCTATTAATATAAATTTCAACCATTAAAAAAAATTAAATTCAATAATTTTAAATATTATATTATTATATATAATATAAAAATATATTATTTCCATCCTAATTTTTTTGTTTTATACTGATTTTTATGACATTTAAAAAATTTTAATTTTAATGTATTTAATATTAAAATTAATTTTTCATAAAATTAAAATTTTATATTTTTAATATTAAAAAATAATTATAATAAAAATAATTTTAAAATATTAAAAAATAAAAATTTTAAATATAAAATAAAATAAAAAAATAATTTTGAGATATTTCAAAAAAATAAAAAAATAAAACAGAGGAAGTAAAAAAAACGAAAAGTTAAATATTTAAAATTTTAATAAAATTATATGTTAATTTGAAAAAATAAAAAAATATTTTAAATTGAAATAATAATTTTTTATATTTTATACACGCGAATTCCGTATCTTGCAAAAAATAGCGTGGAACTGAGACGGAATCTTCAGAAAAATGCCCATCCATTAAAAAATCTTCTCTGCCTGAGAATGAGATTTTAAGAGCAGGGCTTTCGATCTGCAACAATCTTCCCCACTCTTTCCCCAAAGAAAAAGAGTCGAATTGATTCGTTTATGGAAGAAGAAGAAGAATCGGAATCGGAAAGGGAAAAGGACAAAGCTCCAAGCCTTGCATTTGTTTCCTGGACACCTTAATTCAAGAGAAATATAAAAGAAAATAAGAAAAAAGTTTTCTTGGAGAGAAAGTTTCAATGGGCAAAGGCCCCTTCTCGTTCCGGCGCTCCTCCACTAGACGACGGCATCCAAAATCCACGACGGTTCCACAACCGCCTATGCCACCTCACATTGGAGCCGCTTCTTCATCTTCACCTCCGCATCCCGGCACCGGCAATTTGATTGGCGGTGGTGCTGGTGGTGGGGTGGGGCCGGCTGGGAAGGGGAAGAAGAAGGCTGCGGGAGCAAGGCTGTGGATGAGATTCGACACGATGGGGGTGTCGGAGTTGGTGGAATACGATAAAAGTACAATAATTGACAGAGCTTCGATTCCTGCTAGGGATTTGAGGATTCTTGGCCCTGTCTTCTCTCACTCCTCCACTATTCTTGGTATTTTCAAATTTAAAATTATCACCTTCTTTTTAAATCTATTAAAAAAATTGTCTTTGTTATTGTCTGATTAATTTTCTTAATATAATTAGTATATTGACTTTAAGCTAATTGATTTCAGGTTCGGCTCATTTAATTTCCCTTTCTTTATCGACTGAGGATTCAGGATTCTATTAGCTTGCAAGTAGGAACTAGGAAGCTTACAAAGTTGTGGTTTTTTAGTGTATTGCATCTGTTGCTAAGATGCAGATTTTGGGGTGTGGTAGAACCATTTTAAAGTGTTTTCATTTTTTGTTTGAATATGGCATCTAAAAGTAAGATAGCAAACATGTTGGTTGGAAATGAATACCTGTGACTGAGCGGTTTCTCAATTGTGTTGCTTTTTATATCTCTGACCAAACCCTTAATGCCGATATTAGTTATGAACGCTATATGCAAAGTGGTTTCCGGACTACCATCCTTGCATGTTGATTAAGAGGATTTTCTTGTTCATGGTTCCTTGTCAAGTCTTCAATGTATATAGTTACTCTTTGTTAATTGTTTTGAATTTACAAAGGGTAGGGATTGAACTTTTTATCTTACTTGGTGTGAATTAAAGGTTAGCTTGCTTTGGTTCTGAATGAAGTTTGTGATGATAAGCTGAGTATAGTGTTCAGGGGGATCTTAGTTAGAAACCCTCCGTTGTTAGGTCACTATAATTTTTTTTTTTTGTTAAGATTTAAGATGGATGACAGCTCTTTGTATTGTCAAACTGATTTCTTTGGTAATAACAAATGATGCTGACATGCGTGATCATATAAGTTACTTAATGTATGTGATCGAGAATCTTGTTGCCAGTGATGCCAGCAAATACATAGCTATGATAACCAAGCATTGGGCAATCTGCTGTTTGCTGTGTTTCTTTTATAGTTTTGTCTGCTCTCCCAAGAGGATGGGCATGAATTATTATTCAGTTTTATACACTCACGCTTAGAGTCTATTCCTTCATTTCTTTTTCCAATCTGTTTTGTACCTTGATCTATTTCATTATCTTGATATATGAATCAAACAAATAAGAATACTGGGTGCTTTATTTAGTCATCATTATCTTGAAACAGTTGAGAAATTTTCTTTAGATATTCCAATCTGTTCTGGACCTTGATCTATTTCTCTATCTTGATATATGTTTTAAACAATTAAGAACACTGGATTCTCTATTTAGTCATCATTACTTGAAACAGGAAGATTCTGAGATTCTTTTCTTATCTTTTCCAGCCAGGGAGAAAGCAATGGTTGTCAATTTAGAGTTTATAAAGGCTATAGTTACAGCTGAAGAAGTTCTTATACTGGATCCTCTCCAACATGAGGTTCTTCAATTTGTGGATCAACTAAGACAACAACTTCCTCATAAAAGTGCATTTAAGATGCAAGGAGCAGGCGCAATGGATGTAAATGATAGTGAAATGCATGTTTCAACTGGTGGACAGTGGTTACCTGTTCCAGAAGCCATGGAGGGTTTGCAGTGTGAGCTTCCATTTGAGTTTCAGGTTCTGGAGATAGCATTAGAGGTTGTCTGCTCATTTTTGGACAAAAGTGTGGCAGAACTTGAGAGGGATGCTTACCCTGTGTTGGATGAACTGGCCAGAAATGTCAGCACCAAGAATCTTGAACATGTGCGGAGTTTGAAAAGCAATCTCACTCGACTTCTTGCACGTGTACAAAAGGTATTTTTGATGGCTGTTGTTTCTTTCAACTTCCTAGCTAATGTTCACAAGGAGAATTCTCCTTATCTGGATTTGGACTGTGTATGCATTTGTGCATGTGTTGAAGGAGGGAGGACCAATTACATTAAACCTGTCCTATTTCATTCTGCCAAAAGAGTTTTTATCTAATAAAAGTCAGAATGTGAAATGTAACTTTCCAAGGTGGAATCTCCACTATTTGCTGTAGACAATTTACTGACAAAAACAAGTATATGATTCATTAAATATGTAGCCCATTGATGTCATTCATTCATATGTTATTTTATTTTATGTATGAAACATTAATAAGGGCCTGTTAAATGTCAGGTGAGGGATGAAATTGAACATCTACTGGATGACAATGAAGATATGGGACATTTATATTTAACAAGAAAGTGGATCCAAAATCAGCAATCTGAGGCTTTGTTGGGAACTGCAGTTTCAAATAGCATCAGTACTATTTCGCCACGTCTACCTCGACTTGGTTCAAACAGGAGTGCAAGTTTGGTGAGCAGTCACAATTTGGATGACAATGATGTTGAGGATTTGGAGATGTTGCTTGAGGCTTATTTCATGCAGCTGGATGGAACACGTAACAAGATATTATCTGTGAGTATTTATCTTTACCATGTTAGAATGAATAAATCTGGTTTCATCTCCCTGATCCCAAGAATCATTTCCTGTGTTGGATTTCCAGGTTCGAGAATATATTGATGATACAGAAGACTACGTCAATATCCAACTTGATAACCAGCGAAATGAACTCATTCAACTTCAATTGACATTGACCATTGCTTCATTTGCTATAGCCGTTGAAACTTTGATAGCAGGGTGGTTTGGTATGAACATCCCTTGTACATTGTACAATAAAAACGGGATATTTGAAATCTTTGTTGGAGGTATTACAGCAGGATGTGTGTTGATTTTCCTGCTCATCCTAGGATATGCCAGATGGAAGAAGCTGCTTGGTTCTTAAAGTCAACGTCACCATCACCTACATAGCTGTGCTTTTTACTACTTCAGATCTATAAAATACACTTAGCTTATTCATGGACCCCAGCAATGAGCTGCCATTGAAGAATATACAGAATACAAGGACCAGTATCCAATTTCTCCGATACATGTTTTAAGGCTTCAATGTGTAAGTACATTGCTTGAGATTTGGAAAGTGAAGCATGTTTTTTTATGTTTCCATTCCCTCATGTTAGACCTGTGTAAGATATTAATGTGCATCTTGATATCTAGTCTACATTTATTCTGCCTTTTTTCCCTGAATGAGAACCAAGCTTTCCTGCAAGAACGAAACGGTTGCCAACTAATTTTGTAGGGCAAGGAGGTCGTTTGATATTTTCTGTACCGAAAATGCTAGCATTCCTGTCTCAGCCATATGATTATTGCTCCCAACATTCATGCATTTTCTGATATTCTTGCTCACTGTTCACCCCTTGTTTACAAACTATTTCAACATAATTGCCATAATTTATGTAAATGACAGGGTTTTGTACCAAAGCTGATCCTTTTGGTACTTCATTCAGGCTATGTTAGATGCATCAAATGGTCTTTGATTCGTGCAATTATTTTTAAAATATTCAATAAATTTGGGTTCAATTTTAACATTCGAAATTTTTTTATTTTTATATTGTGAATTTTTTATATCATTAGTATTTAAATATTTTTAAAATGAGCCTGATTATGAAATAATTTTTTTATATATATCTATTAAAAAGTATATATAAAAATTCATGTATTCATATCATATAAAATATTAAAATTTTTTTATATCATATTTTACATAAAAATTATATATAATAATTTATATCGATATAAAAATATAAAATATTTTTTTTTTATTTTGATAAATTTAGATATATTTATTATTAAAATTTTATTTATATTATTTTTTATTTTATATTTATATTATGTTTGTCTTATATTATCGTATAATTTTAAATGATATTAGAAAAAAAATAATAATGATGGTACTGGGCTACCGGTACAAAATTATTGGAGAAAGTGAGATCCCTTTGTATCTTACTAGATCTTGCTGGCCTTGCAACTTGTTATACTTTCATTATTATTTTTTTCTTGAAATATCAAAGAAAGAAACAAAAAGCATCGGCCAATGGTTTAGTAATGGTACGTGGACCATATTAAAGCGCTGTCCAAAACCTTATGCTTGAACCCATTTATTTTGCAATAATGTCCAAATACCCTTCTGAATCTCTTGCTGTTTACATTCAAGTTTTAGTGTATTCCTTTTTTTTTTTTTCAGAGGTTGACTTTGGATTTTTTTTTAACTCAAATTTATACATACTGCTTGTATTAAGGCAACCCAGTTGGGTTTCGTATACCCCCTTCACATTCCTGCATGCTTCATTACTATATTTTGATAGCTTTATTTCTTTACAAAAGGGTCCACGGTTTGAGAATAAAAAAAATAAATATAAATTTTAATTTTTAAATTATTTGTTAAATGTTATTTTTTAATATTGATGTATAAATTAATTGAATTAAATTTTAATTGTTTTAACTTTTGATTTAAAATAATTTTTAACACTCGTTAAATATCAACATAATTAACGATAAGAGACTCTTGACATATTGAAAAAGAAAAATCTTTAACTATTAACAAAATCCAATCATTTTGCTCCCATTTTTCACTAAAAAAAATAATTAAATAAATAAATAAACACAAAAAACCCTTTTTTTAGTACTTTATTTCCTTTCTTAGGACCACAAAATCAAAATTATTGAAAATTTTATTTGTTAATGTCAATCATAATCTATTTTTAGATTTGATATATGTAAATAATTATATTTATTTTTTATATTAAAAATTTAATATTTGAATTTAAAATTTTTAGTCAAGAGAAGCATATATTATTGATGATGTTTAATATGTTGGTAGGGTATAAGATGACCTAGAGGTCATATAAAGAATAACCCGCACTTGCAATAAAAAAATACAATTAAAAGATGTCGAAGTTAAATTTTTAATATGCATTTGGATACCTAAATTAATCAAATATTTAAGGTATTTTAAGAGAAATAAGATGATTTACAGATAATACTAAAACAGCTTTAAAGAGAAAGATTCAAAATTAATTGTACTTTGATATTTTCTTAGCTTATATGTAAAGGAAAATTTGTGATATGGTCAAAGTTATTAATCATTAAATGTGAGTTGTACTCCATGATTTTGTGAATTTTAGAGATCAATTGGTGTAGATTGGAAGCTAATTATAAAAAAAATCTTGATAGAATGTTAGTGAAAATTATTAGATAAATATTAATTTGACGAACATAAACATAAAAATTAATTTTATTAATTGAGTAGATAAATATAATATATATATAAACTATTCAACCAAATATTCGAATAAATAATTATATTTATATTCAAATTTCATTACTCATTTAAGATATAAATTATTTAATTTTTTGTTACATCAATGCAATTACTATAATCTTATAATTTTAATTATTAATAGATATCAAGTACTAAAAAGAACGAATGAGAAATTGGAGTGGGTAGAATGTAATATAAATATTTTGGAGGGGTTAAAACTTAGAAATATTTCTCTCTTTTTTCGGATTTTATTCTTCAATCCCCCTTCCAGCCGTCAACGCAAAGGCAGAGAGAAGAAGGCTTCGAAAACGAAAACACAAAATAAAATAAAAAAAAAAACCCAGAAAACGGAAAAGGAAAACCCTAGGAAATAGTTAGCTTTCGATTTAGAAACGTTGAAGCATTGCATTTCAAGATCTCAATTCTTCTGAAAGGTAATTTTCTTAATTTTTTTCTAATTTATTTATTTTTTCAATTGCAAATTTTATAAAAAAAAGGTTCTTTTGTTTTTGCTTTTCTTGTCTTTACTTCTAGGGTTTAACTCTCGATCAACATCAGATTTGGGGTTATTGTTTTTGATTCTCTGAAAGAAAGAAACTGCGTACTAAGTACTAATACTCTGCTTCTCTGAACATTCATTTTTACTGAATAAATTAGAAACCCTAAGCCCAAACAGGAACAAGAGAGAGATAAAGAGAATGAAGGTGAAAGTAATATCACGTTCCACTGATGAATTCACTCGGGAACGAAGCCAAGACCTCCAGAGGGTGTTTCGTAATTTCGACCCCAGCCTTCGTACCCAAGAGAAAGCCGTCGAGTACGTCCGCGCTCTTAACGCCGCCAAACTGGACAAGGTCAAATATCGAACTTTGGGATTGAGTTAATTTGGTTTTTCTTGAAATTCGCTCACTATTATTTGATCACTTTGTTTAGATATTTGCAAGACCCTTTATTGGAGCTATGGATGGGCATAGAGATTCCATCAAGTGTATGGCCAAAAACCCAAATTACTTGAAAGCAATTTTTTCTGGTTCTGATGATGGAGGTAAACTTTGGAACGTACTATTTTTATTGTTTTTCATTTTCATCTCTTTAGTACCAAATACGAATACCTTCATATTAGCAAGGAACTGCAACTAAAACTTCTGAGTTTTTATCTTCCATCCTTTTTCAGATATTCGTCTTTGGGATTTAGCTTCCAGGTATTTCTACACCTCTTTGATTGCAGCTTAGGTTAGTTAGGATCTTAATATTTGAACCCCCCTTCCCAGTCTTTTATCAAATGATTAATAAATTAGAGCTTTGAAACAATGCTATTAACAATTACTTTCTTGTTTTCAATTTCCTCATAGTACTACATTGATGGTAGCAATAGTGGTTTCAAGATCAGTTTAGTAACTCATTTATTCTTCTGCATTAATGGTTTTGTGGCGGTTTCATATTGTTGCTTTATTATTTAAAATGCACTGTGATTTACATATTTTTGAAAATTTGATTCAAAGGCGAACAGTTTGCCGATTTCCTGGTCAGCAAGGTGCTGTACAAGGTTTGACAGTATCGACAGATGGAAGCGTTCTTGTATCATGTGGAAGTGATTGCACGTAAGACATAAATTTTAATAGTTAAAGTTTATTTCCAACAGGGAGTGAATGTAGATTAAGCTGCAACTTAAATACTTGTAGTATCTCTAATTATCACCTAAATTTTCTCACTCCTTTAATCTGTACATTTTTTAGTGTTAGGCTCTGGAATGTTCCTGATGCTAATCTTGCAGATCTGGATAGCCTTTCTGATAATTCAGCCAAGGTATGTCTCTTTATATATTCTTGTATTTCTGCAAAGAATACTTTGTAGTTTAATTTTTTTTCTCTCCAACCCCTACCCTAAACTCTAGCTCTTCCCCTTTTTACTTTCTATCTTCTTTGACCAAGAATTCCAGTGCTATAATTCTAAACAAACTAAAACCGGTATTTTTCAGCCACTGGCAGTTTATGTTTGGAAGAATGCATTTCGGTAAGGATCATGACTTGTCAAAAAGTATCTTTGTTCTTTTAGCCTTTTCACCTTATGGGCAGTAGTTCCTGGGTTTCTTCAGGTGTGAATTGTAATATTTACTCTTTTTCAGGGCTGTTGATCACCAGTGGGATGGTGAGCTCTTTGCCACGGCTGGTGCTCAAGTAGATATATGGAATCACAATAGGTTTTGATCCCAGCTTGTCTTATTTTTTTTTACGTTTTTATTTTCCCTTCGGCAGTATGCAGATTTATTTATTTATTTTATGAGAATGTGGCTTTCTGTAATTAGGTCTCAGCCAGTTAACACTTTTGATTGGGGAACAGACACCACTATATCTGTTCGATTTAATCCTGGAGAACCAAATGTTTTGGCAACATCAGCTAAGTATGCATTGAAGCCTGCTCCTAGATCGAGTATTATGTGGTTAACAAAAGTGGTTTGTGATATAATGTTGAGTTCAAACCTCTCAAATTTTCTAATCATCGTATGCTTCATCCTAATTTAGAATAGACGACTGAAACAGAATGATAATGTTCTGCTTTCATCCCTTTAATCATATATTAAAGATGAAATTAGGAAGAGCTAGAGTGTAGTGAGATCCGTAATGTCAACTAGCTTGTTTTGTAGAGTGACCAAAGCGGTGTATCCTTGCAATGACATATTTGGCTATCACAGGGTTCTCATGACTCTTTCTATGCTATTTTGTGATCTTGTTTCCAAGACATAGCAGCTAGGAATAGTGTCATATGCTATTAATCTATGCTTTCCAGTCACAATAGCTAGTTAGGTAGTTGAAAATATATTGCTTTTTTGTTTATGGTCAATTCTTCTTCAAAGAAACACAATCTTTTATAATTGATCTTGAATTTGATTTATGCTATTCTGTAATTTCGGGGATTTTTATGGGTGATAATAGTACGTCATTAACTCTTGAAATAGGCTTCTAGGTAGCAGTTTTCAGTTTAATGCTACTTTTAGTTCATATTTTAAACTTATGAACCTCAAGTTTTGATGCTTGGTTGTTAATATAATATGTAAATTAAAAGAAAATTATTCAATGTGGTTGCCAATTTGTTTACGTAAAGCAATTAGCTATGTAGATTGAGGTGCATTATGCACTATGTAGTCTGTCTTTGGTAATTTGATTTATCTTCCCTACCTCTAATTTGTTTTGGGGAACTCCGTTGCCCTCCTTAAGATGCATTTACTCCTTTGCAA